TTTAATTCTTGTATTCTTTTCCCTAAAAACAGGTCCCCAACTTGTATAAGCTTCATGTTCACAGCTCCCGTTAGTTCTGACCAGGGAGAGTACTTGGCGTGCTCAAGGCCTGCATGGGCTTGGGTTAGCAGGGCTTGAGCAAAGTTAGAATTAGGAAGACAGGTGGAAGATGAGCTTGAGGAGTTGCTATGGAGAGATGGCTTAGGGCCTTAGACACAATTGTAGAGTCTTTATATTTTATTCTAAGTAAGAGAAGAAGCTTTTGGTGGGTTTGGAATTAGAAAGTGATATAATTAAAATGATGTTCTGGAAGTATCCCTCTGGGTTCTGTATGGAGAATGGATTTGAGGGTGGCAAATTGGAAGCTACGAGAGCTGTTAGGTACAATTCAGGGAGGAAATAGGTGGTGGTCATGAACAAGCTCAAATATGGGATATACTCATATTTAAAGATATGTCTGACAGGACTTGGTGATGGGTTGGACATGAAATGTGACAGAGTTCATAGGTGACTCCAATATTTTTGGCTTAAGTAACTAAACCAATGGTGGTGCTGTGTTTTGAAATGGAAAGCACTGAGGGAAGAATAAGATTAAATTATATTCAAGACTTTTATATGTATAAAATTTGAGATATTTTCCACCCACCCAATCAGAGATGTTGGCTTATAAATTTCAGTCATCAATTATTATCAAAGGCATGGGACTTGATAAGGTCATCAATAGGTAAGTCAATCAAAACAGAGACATTTTAAGAGATATGCTCAAGAGCACATTGCTTATTTAAGAAATCCAAGTTTCCTGACTTTGAGAACAGTTCTCTTTCCACCACAAGATTTCTCTGAGAATTAGAAGGCTAATAAGAAAATCTCCAGATGTTATGGAAAGAGTTAGATAAATATTGCTTTTGAAGGAGAAAAGTAAAATATCGTATTTTCCTAGGCTATACCTCAAAATTATTTAAATCAAGTCATGTCACATAACTAATTTAAAATAAACTGCCTAATCAGTTTTACTGAATTTTCACAAACTGGCATTAAAATATATATGTATATATGTCTGTGTGTGCATATATATATATATATCAAAGAACATTCTAGATAAGCCAAATTATCTAGAGAAAGGCATAGTATTTTTCTGGTGGAAACAGGCTTCCATTGTGTCAGCAAAAGAACCAAGAAATAAATTAATCTCTTGCTTGTCAGAAAAACACATTGCTTGAAGCTTGACCTGAAGCAGTCACTGGAAATCTGATGGGAATAGCTCAGGAGTGGAAAAATCCTTTTGAGAAAATGACCCCATCTGGTTTCAGCTCTCTTCTTAGTGGAATTTGGTATAAATGGCTTACAAGTGCACCTTAATGTGATGCAGTTCAAATGCTATCAGCAGTGTCACATCAGATTGGAGGTAGGCTTGCCAAGACATCAGGACCTAATATAAGGTACAAAGCAGCATAAATGAAAAGTCCTCATAATACTAAATAATGCAATAAGGTCTCCAAGGAGAAGATAAATATGACTCTGATCTCTCTTGGCAGCATCATATCTGTCATTATTACAGAATACAAAATTCAACATAGGAAATAATGAGTTTGAGAGTCGAGAGGTGCTAAACTGAAACAAGGCTCACGTAACAAATTCACCTGAGGAAAAACAACACACACTACAAGATGAACCAAAGAAAGCATATACAAGGCAGGCACACAGTGATGAGTGTTTTTGGGGAAAACTGTGGGCTGATCAATGAGATTCTGAGAAGACCACTTGCCCAGAGGAATTACTTTGAAGATGAGACATTTGCCTTCATTGACTTAAATGCTTTCTACGTAGCTTCTGCATGAAACAAAGACTTTCTGGACTTTGCCTTCCTCGTTGACATGACTCATCTTTTTTAGTTCAATTTACTCCTCAAAACACTGTTCAGGTAACTGCAGACAATCCACTCAGTAGCAAAAATGTAAACTATTTTCTTAGTAGAGTTTACTAAGAAAGTCCAGCTGCTTCAGACTCCCCAACAGCTCTCTTTTCCTTCATTGTCTGAGTCTAGCAAACACAAAGTAGCAATTTTAGTCAAATATTTATTTTGCCTACATGACTCTTCAAAGCTTTGACTGAATTCTTTTTGTAGAAGAAACCAAGAATCTAAATTTTTTTAAAAGCACAATACATGTAGTTCACCATTGTTAGCTTACATAGAATGTATGGGCAGGAAAAACTAAGATAAAAGTCATTTTTTCAAAATTAAATTTTACCTGGGAAAGCTGACAATTCAATTCCAGATATACAGATTTCCAAGCCAAAGGGAAATTCAAATCACGTGTCAAAGCCTTTTGAAAAATAGAGGCATATGAAGTTTCATTATATTCTTAGCAAAATATTTTTAAATAAATGGATCTGATAGCTATTTTTTAGTAACCTTGTGTTTCATAATGATGAGATAGGAGATTAAATATGTTTATTGTAGAATCATCATGGGATATTAATTTTTAACACTAAACCATAAAATCCTGGAATTAGACACATACTTTAAACAGCAAAATGCTTAAGATGAATAATAGTATGATTTGTCCAACCAACTATGAGTAATATAATGAAGAAGAAATGGGCATATGGCAAGGGTCAACACTGTACATTTATCTTAACGTGCCATCTTATGTGGATATCATGACTCATTCTTAGGCCATTTCCAACTGGAAATTAATTGAAGCTGCTGAATTCACTAACCCACTAAGATCAGCCTGACAGTCTACTTTTGAGTGTAGATGTAACGCTGAGATGAGTGTTAAAATGGAAAGCTCTCAGGGGTACAACACATGCCACTGACTTCAGGAGAGACCAGAGACCATATTGGGTTCTTAAGCTACACATGAAGTCAAAAGAGTCAAACTCTCTTTATAAGTACTTACTTGTATTTCCTATAATTGAAAATGACATATAGAAGTTCATTCCACTGAGAAAAAACCAAATAGTACTAACCAATGCAGTTATGGAAATAGTCAGAGTGTTGGCTTCATTCTGCAATTATGGGGCAATTCCCTAGAAAGCTGAGAAATTTCTTTGGGTTTTTTCTCCCACTTATAGATGACAAAACAGCTATTGACCATCGGCCCTCTGTATCCACGGGTTCCACATTTGTGGATCCAACCAACAGCAGATCGAAAGTATTTGGGAAAAAAGCCCAAACAATATAATACAAATAATACAAATAAAAAAATACAGCGTAACAACTATTTATATAGCACTTACGTTGGATTAGGTATTATAAGTAACCTAGAGAAACTTCAAAGTATACAAGAGGATGTGGGTAGGTTATATGTAAATATTATGTGGTTTTATATAAGGGACTTGAGCACTTATGGATTTCAGTATCCCCAGTGGTCCTGGAACCAATCCCCTGTGGATACCAAGGGACAACTGCACTTACTAAGGGATTCAGCATGTGATGGTAACCTTAAGAGTGTCTTACATTCGGGGCCTGACAGGCCTGTATTTACATTTCAGTTTTCTTACTTTCTTTGTTATGTTGTACACATTTTACAGATTGTAGAATATATGTTAGAAAGTTTACTATTGGAAGTCATACTTATTTCCTTAAAGCCTGTTCTGACAAGTTAAATTTATGAATCATAAAGCATGGCAAGAGTCTGTCAGCCATTTCCTAAAGGCTGACCCGAGAGAGTTGTCATTCGAGTGTGTTTATTTGAAGATGGTGTAAGATAATAGAAAGGACATAGGTGGGGAGTCAAAGATGACTCTATACTTTGATGATTGTGTAGTGCCATTAACAGAAATTAAAAATAGTACAAATGCTGATTTAGAAAAAATGTTATAAGGACAGTTTTGAAATATTGCATTTGATTGCTGGTCATTTTTACAATTGGAAATGACCAGCAAAATGTTGAGTAAGGGATTAAATATGTGGAAGATAAGTCAGGGCTAAAGCTAGGGATTTGAAAGTCACGAGCACAGAAGTTATATTTAAAGTCATAAAATTGGATAAGATCTCTAGAATGCAGAATTTAAAGGGGAGGCATGGCCTTCTGCAACTCATCTTTGACAGAACACTGGGCTCCACGTACCCTAGATTTTATTCAGCACAGAATTTCATACACACACACCCCCCACCCCACCCCCACACACATTATAAGGTTTTTAAATTACACTAAGAAAATGCCTTTATAACTACACAAAAGTCTCTACTATTAAAAAGCCTTTAGGTCTAAGATATTCATTATTTCTCAGACACCAGGAAATAACACTAACAGAGGTAACATCTATGAAATTGTCATATGAAATAGAGAAAGACTTAGACTTACTATAAGATGTTAGATATTACAAAGCAGATCTCGGGGTGAACAGTATGCTCCTTCACCCCAGCCACCTATAAGTGTGTAAAACTAGACTGTGGAAGAACTGGAAAGTGATTCCCGTTTGGAGTAGTCCTGAATATTCCATAGTATAGAGAACTTTCTCTAAGACCAAATTAGTTCATAGCACTCCTCCTCAATTTTGCTCTGCATGAAGATTAAAGTGATATCTGTGCCAACTGAACTGACATTTTTCTCCATGATAAATTAGACCCAGATGAAAAATTGAATATTGCAAACTTCTCAATGAGTACAACTTAATTAATCAGTTAATAAGATGGACTTCAGCATTGATCCTTACTAGGAATGACCATTCTATTTATTTCCTAACTAGAAAATGTGCTATATATCCTTAAAGCTTTTTTTTGCTTTAAATCCAGTTTGCTGTTTTAAAAGTGTATCCTAGATCCTTAGTGATTAAAACTTTATATCTATTGGAATAGACAAATATGAAAATTACAGATTCTTTATAAAAGTTGAAGGGATTTCAAAGGTAATCTAATGGTTGTTTTCAATCTCTTCAACAAAACTTTACTAGGAACTGCAGTATGTAAAGCAAATATGGAACTGCCCTATTAAAATGAGGTCCACCATCACCTCCCGTAGCCCTTCATGGCCCCTAGGACAGATCTGTGGAGATCCAAGGGGCATAGTTCAAACATTCTCGAGTAACCCCCCCCCCACACACACACACCATGTGAATCACATCTCCTGACCCCCTGGATGAATGGATACGCAGTGTTTTGAGAGTCCCTCTAATGACATACCTCATGAGGTCCTACCCGCTCAAAGGCTTTCCAGATGTCTAATTAAATTACTTCCACTAGTAATTCCTTGTCTACAAGGCATGTGTTTATTCTCTTAAAAGACCTGTTTATGCCTGAGAGAATTCAGGTTGTTTAGTCAGGCATGATTTCCACTTATAGAAACCATAAAAACTTTTTCCCAATATATTCTATTTTCTTATTTGTTCCATGACCCTGACTCTATGTACAGGTCAGTGATTAATAAGAGCTTTTCTGAGTGATGACAGACTCCTCTGCACCGAAATGAATGCTTTGTTCTCTAAATAGAAACTCTAGGTACTATCAGCATCTCTTGAATCCTTGGCCTTCTTTATCCTCCCCAGCTCTTTTTTTTTTTGTCTTTTGTCTTTTTCCGTGTCCGGCAACGGATCGCAACCCTCAGTGTTGCCCCCGTACCGGACCGGGAACCGGCAACGGGATTGCAACCCTCGGCATTGCTCCCGAGCCTCGCTCAGCCAGTAAGCGGGAACCGGTCCGTATGTGGGATCCGAACCCTCGGGCGGGAGCGCCGCCGCGCTTCCCAAGCGGGGCACTATCCAGTGCGCCACCCGGCCGGCCCTATCCTCCCCAGCTCTATACAACTATGTTCCAAATGAACCATCTGCCTCTCATGACTACAGCTCTGTGAAGCCTCTTCAGGTGCTAGTTTTTATTATTGCATATTTCCATGAAGCATCTGTGTTATACATCGTGTGGTCTCCAGACTCCAGTCTCTTACTCAGAGTTTTGCCCTTTATTACTATTTTATCACTTTCCTACCATAGCTAATGTCTCTCCCTATCAGGGTCTACTTAACTGTACCTCTGTCCTTGAAATCTTGTATAATATTTCTGTTAGAAGGGATACTTGTGTAAAAAAAACACCACGTGTGCTTCAATACTATTTACTATTCCGTGTTGGTGATTGTACTTTGCTGGGTTAGACATTGCCAAATTAAAGTCCATTTTTGCACCAAGTGTACACACACTCATCTTAAGAGATGAGGAGAAAATGTGAATTGAGTGTGGAAAGTTCATTATAAAGAAGGCCAAGGATTCATTATGAGGTAGTTAGCCAGGGTAGGAGTGAGAGAGAGTGACAGATTGCAATAAACAAATTTACTGTTCATTGGACTTCAGTTGTACTAGATGTGCACTGAATGAGCACTTTCTCAGGGAAAAAAAAAATCCAATTTGTTACTGTGTAAAGGAAATCATCTTTAGCCTAAGCACTAAATGTACTACAATTGCCCTATCCAGGCTCTTTTCTGATGGTTTCTA